ATGACTAATCAAGTACGTAATTGCCCAGCGAATTATACACATTGCTGCGTATTGGTAGGTATTGCATTGCTCATAGACGTTATTGATAAGTGCGACAACGTCTGATTTCCACCATGACCGTATACTACTTTTAAATGTTTAAATCTTACCATGCTTAATAAATAAATAATTACCGATGTTTTTCGTTTGGCATTAATTTTGTTTATTGTTTGTTTTTAGCCGGAAAAGAAAACGTCACATACAATATCGTCATGATCTAATAACCATCATGTTCACACATGGTTTTGCGTAGATGACTTATAGGTATTCTTGTAGACTGTAGTTGTTTGCATTTTAGGGGCGTCATTCGCAAAGTGAGTAGGAGGCGCCACACATTTGAAAAAGCTCCTCGACTCATCAACCAAATACGTACTTACCACATAATTCGCAGACATATTAAGACTTAAGTGATAATATTAAACAATGTTCATTACAAAAATAAAAATTACTAAACACTACCTATCGTCATATCTATCTTATGATTGTTTATTGAGCATAAACATATTTAAAAAATACATTTATTTTTTTTTTGTATCGAGACACCCCAGAAAGTAGAAAAAAGTGCTACTATTGTTTACGAGAAAAAATAATAATAAAACGGTTTTTCTATAGTCATCACTCATCATAATTTAATCAAGTCGAAGGTCGACTAATAATATTAATTAAAAGACACGACTAATGATTCTGTTATAAGAGAAAGAGGAATAATTTATATTTTTGAAAATGTTCCAGTCGGATATGAAAATCTGTCTACTTAAAACTTGGACCCCAACTGTAATGACGCCCTAATTTATATTTGTAGTACTTTATATAGATGACAATTCCTACTTGTATTTATTATTTACTTGTGTTATCACATATTTTATTCTCATATTCACTTCAAATACTTAATTTATAATATTGTATTATCTTTATTGACCTAATAATAAGGTTATAATTTATAACTTATGACTCTATATTATACATTATACATGATAATTAATAAATCGTATAATGTTTGTATATTTTCAATTCCTTAATATTATCCTAATATAATAATATGCATACATACAATATCCATGCAAACACTCAATTATACATCGCATATACGAATGAAAATGTTCAAATATAAAATATTAATGAGTAGAAAACTATTATTTCTTTAATAACAAATAGACCAGGAAATGAAGGCCGTAAAATATTAGCAATTTGAGTTTTATTTCTTTGAAAACATTTAAATTAAATTTAGTTTTTTATACTGGAATTAAATCCAATACAGGTATTTTAAGACATCGACATTATTATTGGTTAATTCAAAACAAAGATTATAACCTTATAATCCAAAGTGCCATTTAAAAATCGAAAATAAATTCTGTTTTAACAAATAGATTTATATGGTCTTTATTATAATAATTTCAATGTGTATTACCATATTCACAATAAATAATTGTAGGCTAATAACCTAAGCTGTTGAAGCCTTATCATTAATAAAAAAAAAAAATTATTATTTAAAAAATTATTATGAACAAATTTATTTGTGGTTTTTTTTGGAAAACTAATAAAAATGTTAATAAATCATTATAAATTATTCTTGACAGGCTATATTGCCTGTCATAGTGTTATCAGTCTATTATTCAGATATTCTATAGCCGTTTGCGAGCCAACATAAGCTGAGATGCTAAGAGACAATAATACTTAGTTGAAAATAACAATTATTTTGACATGGAATGACAACCAACTATCGATTGCGAAATGATGACGTAATTGTATTTAAATTAGAGATCAACATTTTTCAAAAAATATCCAGAGATAAGTACATGTCAATATATAATGAGATGATGAGATAATACATAGTACATCGTACGTGTGACGTGAAATCTATACCAACTTTAATGGTAATAGTCAAATGATAATATTAATTTATTATATTATAACAAAACAACGTCGTTTTAAATTTTCGTTATTTTGTTTCAATAAGTATTTAGTGAATATCAATACACTGTATATCAATCATCAACTATAATATCGGCGACAACTAATGAACAATTATTGTTTAGGATATATTTGATGCTTAATACCTAGACTTAATAGGCGTAGGTAGTGCCGGTAGTGGTATTTTTGAGAGTATACGCAGGTGCACGGTGTATACCGATTAACCATTCGGAGAATTAACATATACCCTGTAAAAATAGTACAATATTAAACCGCACCTATTACACTCGTGTGCTTCGACATTTTTAAAAATTAAGCAATCCTTATTTTGTTCTATTATTTATTGTCATATATCAAAAAACATTAGAATTTATTGGTTAAAACCAATATTGTATAACTCGTACCTTGCGATATCGGTATACCTATATAGTTCATCATCATCCAACACCGCGATTAGTGCAGATTTTTTTTTAATTTAAGGATTTTTGAAGGATCGAATCCGATTAGTGATTATAGTCATGCGCTTATAAAATAATAACAATAATCATTGAACACTTTAATTGAGTCAAGTTCATAAACGAACGTATACATATCTACCTTCAAGTTTTTTACGAAAACATCACTGGGCACAGGTCGTTATATTAGTAAGTATGAAACAATAATTGTATCAGTTATAATTGATAAAAATATATTTATTCTACCATAATACCATATGCCAATATAATAGCTATATTACATAGCTTATTCTGTAAAAAACCTAATGTGCTGAAGCACTATTAAACAGTGTGTTGGTTACTTGGTTTTATGTTTATTACATTAAAATTAGTTATGAACACATAAATGAGCCTATGAAAAAATACTTTTTAACTATGGTTTTAAATTTTAATATTTTGTTTAAATTTTTTTCCATAACCACGTAGGTATTATAAGACTGATTTATTTTTAAAGATTTAATATAAGTACTTACATGGAAATATTATCTATACGTATTATTAAATATCGCTAGTCCTGTACTGAATCTTGAAAATATAAAGTAGTTTAATTAAAAATGCCATTTGATAATTTACTAGCCATTTATTTGATACATTTAATAACAAACATATAAAACTATGAAATTATCTTTAATTTATGTGTGTAAATGTATAGATAATTATTATTTATTTCGTTATTCGTATGCTATTATTAAATAAAAAATGATTTATTACGTAAGTACCTATTTAAAGTAATAAATAATATTTAACAATATTTTAATAAACAGTTTGTTTCTCCCATTCTCTCATCGCCATATCATTATGATGTGCAAAATGTTGATATAATAATATATAATGTGTATATGTACATAAATACGTTTAAATTACTTAGGTAACGTAAGACATTCATCGTAGTTTAATCATGTAGTTCAAATTACATCGTTACATTCCATACATTAAAATACACTGTATTATATATACATAAATATGTATTTTTTTAAAAAGGTCTTACAGCAATTCCGCTGCCTGTAGAGGAGTCGGGTAGGCCACTGCTGTGCCTTTAAATATTTGAAAACAATGATATTGCGTTTCATCCTTTCGGGATCTAAGCCTGGAGTTGTGTACTGTTACAATTTCATAAAAAAAATAAAACAAATATTATGATCGTTCCCCGAGGTATATAAGTCTGCTGCATGTTTGTTTAAAAAAAAAATAAAAATAATAGCTCGGTATAGCATTATATCTGTATAATATACTATATTACAGTTTAATTTTGCAAAATGGTTTTGTTTTCATTTAGACTACAAATTTAATTTGAAATTGTAATATTTTATTCAATAAAATGAACGACAACGACTGGCGTTAATGTACATACAACTAAACCCTCACCACTTCTAAATATATATCATATATATTATAATAAACTGTCTTTACAACATTTTAATGACCAACATAAATCGCAATAATAATTTATTGTAGTAAATTCTTAATACTCTATTATATTATGAAATGTCTAAAAACAAAAAAAAATGAACGGGACTTAACAGTTGTCTGCGCAGTTCACAAAATGCACATTGAACGTATACATAATATTATTATGTATGATTACGCACTGCATGTATTACAGTAACATCTATATATCATAAGTACCTGTATATGTACAACGAAAAAATTCCGATTACTGCAGATTACATTTTACCGAATGAATAGTATACAGGTACATATAATATAATTTCAAACCAGTGTAATATTATACATAGGTAGACAGGTAGTATAATATAATCCTACGAGTATACCTGCAGATATTACTACTATTGCCTAATGTTTGTAGTTTAGTGTAAAAACGTGATTTCAAACGTACAATTAAATACAAACGTTGACTGTTGCTTATATAGTGAGTAAATCAATTCATTTAGGTACACATTTTTAGACATAGAATTATTTGTTTTCATGCCTTCTGTTCGGACGGTAAACGCGCGTGCGTTAAATGTCAATTCACGAATTATGTAATTATAAGTGAGTATTATACTGTTATAAGTACAATTTATTGAATCCAGTGGTTGAAGGAAATATAAGTATAAACCTTATTAACCTGGCATGTCGAATATACTGAAATGGTGCAGATGAACGGCTTATAAAATACATAAATTCAATACTGACGAACGTTAGTGAAGGTACTATAAAGTATTCATTGTGACTCTTTGCAGCGGTCTTCGGTCGCCTGACAATCAATAAGCAGCAGAATAAATTTATTTGTTCATACTTATGTACACATTCTGCAATAATTCAAACATTTTAAAATCTTTAAATAAAAATATGAACATTTTGAATACATATTGTATGAATAATATAAGATTTACTACGTATTATTTGTGCAGTGTATAATAATGTGAAATTTTAACTTATACATTTTTATTCCAATCTAAAATCAGTCAAAGTGGTATTATTATATTAAATAGCCGAATACCTACAATTTATTCTAATAAAACAGTATTTTATTATATGGCTTTCAATTTTATGTTGACGTTTTTTTTTCCTAATCAACCCATATACATATCAAGCTCCGCAGAATAATTTAACCCATAAAAGTGGATTGCGAGTCAAAAAAAAAGGTAAAAGCCTTTTGAAGTTCCTTTTTGATATTGAATTGCAGCTATTGCAGGTTGTTTGATTATAAGACCATAGTTTGAATGCTTTATATATATATTGTTTGTGTAAACCGTACACTTTATTAGGTAGATAGGTATACCACATCGACATGATGTATCCTTGTCTACTTATAAGTTATAACTTATGATCTACACATGATTTTTGCGATTATAATAGTAAGTGCATAAAACGTCGTTTTTACTTATTAAGTGTTATCATTCGCATTGCAGGTGGGCCCATGTATATGTGTATGTGCAATAGATGTAGTGGTGACTATCCTCAAAATAGTATGTGTTGCTGAAAATATTTCTGAGAACCCGCCTACCTACAGACAAAGGCTGTATTTAGTTGAAAATATAAAAAACTGAATAATTGGGCGATTACTAATTGTTTACTATAGAATGATTCATTAGAGTGAATTTTTTTTTAAACTATGATCTACTCTTACACTTTATATAATTATTACTTATCAGTCATTGAATGATAAATACACCCACCCATCCACGAACCAAATGTTATATGTGTTGCTGAAGCAAAACAAGAATAGTCTCCACTGAATAGTTGCGCGTGCATATGCTGGTGGTTTTATAATGGCGATTCGAAAATTGCAACTCATTAATTTACCTAATTAATGTTCGTTAAATGTATGCGTAATTCAATAAAAAAAACGCTCTAATTTGAATATACGTATGTATCGTGGCATAAAATGTTATTTATCTAAGACGATCATATTAAGTTGTACGTGGGAATAACTAAAGTATAACTTCTAACGTTCTTAACTTTGTATACTTACCTACATATACAGTCAACGACGGGATTAGCATAAGTGCAAAAGAATCTTTTGCTCCAGAGCGACACATTTATAGCGCGGCATCTTTCACATAGGTATTCATATTATAGTACTATACGTAAAATATATGTTGTTTTAATGGCTCCTTGATAAGGAGTTTATAGGTAGGTATACCAAGTATTATATTTTGCTCCAGAGTGGCTCTGATCTTTAAATCCGGCTCTACCTACCAAAATATAAAGACAATTTCTGTTCGCGAGCTGACTGCATGTTTAAATCATTGAAAATTATAGTAGTGTTTTGTACAAACTGAAATTAGTGCAACTACATTTATCGAGTTAACACTACTTAAAGGGTTGCCTACTCATAACTTTATAAGTAACGTATTATACCCAAGCATTTATTGGTACTCTATATTCTATAATATTCCATTGACGATCTCGAGTACACTACGTCGTATAACACTTGCACGTGAAATGTATGCTCACGATTTTATTACCAAAATGACAAATTGTATTATCTCCGTGTGTCTAATGTGTGTTTATATATATAGGTATGTACCGAAGCCCTACTCGTGACACTGTGACAGTGAAGAAGTATCGTTCTCAACACTTCAGCAGCTGTTAAATACACACACTTATCATGACCCGGCAGAAGACCTACCAAGTAGACGGGCTCATCGATGAAATTACCGGGGCACAAAAAGAAATACAAGAAATATATTATGTTTATCAATAGAAAAAATCATTTTCCATCGGTCAAGTTCGCGAATTGTTTGAGTCGCTACCGATGTCTAAGAGTGTGGGTAGGCGGGCTATTTATTTACAATAATAATCATAAAACATAAACGTTGAGAAAAAAGTGGTTACCTAGCTAGTCTTCCAAATTTTCCCAAACAATATTCTTTAATAATAATCGTTGATTTTCCATTACACACTACTGAACGATTCGACAAATTTAAATATAACACTTTCTTGTAACAACAATTGATGAAAAAATCTTCTTGAAAAAAACTCTCACAGATAATATTATGCTTAAAGTTTTAAGTTCTCTATTTCAAAATACCGATTTTTAAATTTCTATTTTTTTTTTTTTGTTCAATTACTTTTCTTATCATTAATTAGGGGGATAAAATCCATTTCAAATAGACATAAAGACATCGGTATTTAAAATTAATTTTTAAAATTCTTTTTTCTTTATTATATCAATATAATGTATTAACATGCCATTATAATGAAACCATAATATTATTGTAACATTTGATATGAGTTTTTAGGATTTCATATTCAAAACGTATACGCTCACACTAAAAATATACTTGTCTCACTTTTACAATAACATACATTACTATATAATGCGTATATTAACCATCATAATTAAAATAAAGAGATAAATGAATCACTGATTCCTGAATTACGCACAAATAACATAGATTTAATGAAAATAATACAATTTATACCCAATGGACAATGGTCAATGCCCATGTATATTAAATAATAATTTAAGTAAAATATTAAACTATTCTTATTTTAAATCTTAATACAAATATAATCCGACGACATTAGACAATTCTACTCTAAAAATGAAATATTGCATAACATTATTAAATTTGGTACACATATGTCGTATCCCGTTAGCCGCCGTTTCATTTCACAGCCGAATTCCCAAATTATTTTTGTTTTAAAACATGGTCGTGAATTTGTGATTGGTAAAGCGATAAATAGACACAGTTAAGAAATCCAGACATATTATAGAAAATCGTTATAATGTTATTGACAAAATTAAAATATTCTTAAAATGCATTAAGACTTAAGAGGTAGGCGATTTGATACACAGTCACAACTAATCATAACATAATTTTGACAAATTTTAAACGATAGAAACAATTATTAAGATTTTTGTAGTGCTATTTACAAGTTTTTGATATAACAAAATATTATAATATTTAAAGCAACTCAAGAGCCATATGTTTCAATAAAAGCTAGTAAGCATCAAAAGTCGACAATGGGATAAATAAATTTAATTTGTTTAATTTAGTATTGATATCCGTTATCCGAACGTTTTGATAGTATATTGATATAGTAAGTAGAGTATGATACTATGATTTATACGTTATTCGAATTGTTGATAATAACTGTAATACATTAGTTCATATTCCTTAATAACCTATATATAATATATTTAATTATATTTGTTTTCACCATTGTTTTTATTTCTTGAAATATTGCTTACGTTGTTTCACAGTGCGATCTGGAGAGAAATAAACTTACAAAATAGTAGGTCTGTTGAACGGATTTTAGATTGCGTACGATTTTAAATACCTACATTTTTCGTACCAGCAAAACTGATATTTTTAATGGACGTGTTCAAATATAGAAGATAGGGAAAATATCTCATACGTGGGTTCAATATTTAGCTCCTTCTCACTGAAAATGCATTTGAATCAAGTTTAATTTTAGAAGGGTGACTTCAGGTAGAATGAATAAAATAATGGTTCTAGCCCAGCGGTTCTCAACCTCTCCACTTATACAGTTTGACATTTTTCAAGTAACACCTGAACTTTTTTTTGCTTATTAATAGTGTATTCGTTTATTCTACATGTATAGAATTTAATTTAATTATATTTTTATATTTTATTTGTGATACACCTACGAGCTTTCCGCGTACCACAGGTCGAGAACCGCTGTTCTAGACTGTATGCGTCTGAAATTATTTGATTGATAATATTAAAATATGTGTTTGTTTCAGCAATGTTCCATTATAAATCGGGACTGTTTAATACAATATACCTATATAAATATAAGTACAACCAAGTTTAGCGATGTATCGGATGCCCGAATAAAATCGGGCCAGCAAAACCGCAACGAGCCTAACGACTTGGAAATTGACGATAAAGACGTACAACATATAATAATATATAATATATTATATATTGCAATATATCTGCAGTGTGATATTTCCACCGTTAAAACGGTCGGCAGACGCAAGTGAGGTCCTGTCGGATTCGATTCCGGACCGGGCATATAATAATATGCTTTTAAGCCACGTCATTCTTCCGGAGAAGTTAACAATTCGGGTATAATATATATAATATGGACCGTCGCACGACCATGTTCAGTGGAGCCCATTATCTTGTTGAAGAATAAATTAATAAAGCAAATATACGTACCTATACAAACTCGTCTATACACGATTTGGCCGTGGTCAATAATTGCGTTATTATATACACCTATAATCTATATACTGAACAACAAGAGTGAAATCTTTGCGCAAAAGTCCAAAATCCCAATGTCGATCGCGAACAGTGAAAAGTACTCAATCCGAGTACAATATAGGCAGTTCCGCCTTTATACTCTATAAATGGATGTGGCTATCGCCCAGCCAGACGGAGGCCCCGAATAATAGAAATTACAACTTTAAATTGTAAGCTGTAAAGTATTAAAACGACCGTCTATAAAAAAAAAGAACTTAGGTAAATGTCAACTGTTAAATAAATAACACTAAATAAATAATGTTAAATAAATAATACTAAATAAATAATGTTAAATAAATAATACTAAATAACTGTGTGCAATTACATTAGGTATCTTTTATTGATGTTTAACAACTAAGAAAGTCATCAAACAAAATAAGCTCTTGATGTTTTTAATTCTTATTTCTTATTCAATTTTTTTTTTTTTTTGACCTACTAAAGGAGCTTCTGGTACTCATGGGCCCCTGCAAAGCCTAAGACGTCCTTGAATATAGGTGGGTACGAAGTACTGTTCGAGTGAGACGAAACATGGCTGGTAGTACGAAAGAATGCAATCTTTGCATCTATTTAACTATGTATAGTAAAATAAAAATAACCCAGTTTATATCATCGGGATGCTGCATTATAGTGTAGATATTAAAACATTGTTTGTTTCGAATTACACAGTATGCGATTTCTCATGGTTGAGTAGTGCAGCTGGAGTTATGTTCTTGGCAGTTGGCACACCACTTGCTTGTCACTTGTGTACTTTTATAGCATAATAATGTGATGTAGTATACTAATGCAGTACCTATATCGTATCCAGAGGGCAAACTATAAGATTGGATGTAAAACACTTTTTGTGTTATGAAAAGGATTTGGGATTTAAAGCCCCTAAAATTATTAAATAAACGCTTAAAAATCACTTAAAAGCTTCATTAAAAAAATTCGGATCTCCTCTCGAAATTTTCCCTTTTTCATCATAAAATATTTCAGATATGTAAACTGTTTAAATTTCACTAGCGGATTTAACTTATGTTTTCATTTTATGCATTTATAAATTAAATTAATACTGCAGGAACATAAACAACACAACGTGTGATCGATAATCGACTAATCATACGTTACCTAGCTACCTATGGTTAAGTATCGTTTATTTGAAATCCTTGTAACATGACATACATTTTCATAGCTATCTCTATTGGATTGCATGTCAAACCTAACCAAGAAGTAAATGATCTAATAAATCCCGAACGAACTTGGTCATGTGCATATTTCAACATTGATCAAAATATTTAAAGTTTAAACTCGATTACTTCAAAACACATTTGTTTTTAGTTCGGTAACGACCGTACTTATGATGTTCTAGTGAGGAGATATTTTATTATATTTTGTTATAACTCTACTGTGATTATGTATCACAACTGACGTGATGATTATTCTGCTGCTATGAATAAATAGCTAATTAACATATACCTATTCAGTATTACTCACTATTATAATATGACCTAGTATAGGTGGACGAGGAGCGAATATTTGACGTAGTAAAAAGTGCAATTGACATAATGTGGTTATTATTGAACTTCGTCTTGTAAATTGATGTAATAACACCGCCCAAGTCGTAAATGGTAATAAACATAATTTTTTTAATTTTTTTCCAAATCGAATGTAAATATTAAAATACTTGGTTGATTTTTTAATTTGTCGGCGTAGATTATCGTTCAGCGTAGTCATACAAACATTGATACTAAATACATAAAAATATACACCACATAACTACATAAAGAGATATATAATAATTGCTAAGCTGTAAATTGTAATAGTAAAACTAAAAGCTAATAAAAAAAAAACTACATAAAGAGATGCACTTTAGTCTTTCGTGTGATATAATTGTAAGTGTTTCATCGTTAAAATGCTATTGTAAATATAAGGGGATGATATGCAGTTATGTAAATATATTCGTGGGTATACGCCTTATTCACGCAGGTGTGTGACGATGGTAAAAACATTATCATTAAGAAATTGCTATAAATAATTATTTTCCCGCAGCCCTTATTTCACTATATTGCATATTGTGCAGATGCAATAGTTAAAAACATTAACACAGTACATTGATGACACTAACTATTCGTCGGAAACTTAAATTAAAAAAAATGACACAAAATGTAGTTTACGAGTATGTAACCTTAAACGGGATAGGGTATAAATAGAAAGTATAATTGGTACTCAAAATAATAATTGTTGATAATCGCCTGCAGGTAACTACTAAATAATAATATCAGAGAATTGAAAATTGCAAATAATTACCAGTAGAATATACTTTTGTTTCCGTCACTGAAAATGTGTA